GCTTGCATGTCAAGTTAGCATGTTCAGAAAAACAATGTGTGACACAGAAGAGAGGAAATGCACAACACCAGATTAAGAAGACTAATATTAAAGATTGCAAAAACATTCACAAATCCAGCAACTTTATATATAAAAAAAAAAATACATCTACAACTGACACCATTGTTTTTCAATAGTTCATAATTATCATTTTGTTCCATTTTTGTCTATTCATGATATAAAGTTGGTCCACACCCATAAGGCAATTTTTATGTGTATGATCCCATAGTTTGGTTTATTTTGTCTTGGTTAAAGCTTATTGACTGTATGCAGGGTTAAAGCTGAGCTAATTCCTGACATCACTACTTGAATGATTCACCTGATCTTAAAAGTCCTCTATATACAAAAGTATACAGATGTATCTTGGGTTCAGTTTTATCTTTGCACCATTATAATAAATGATGATCAAACCCATAAGCATCATCTTAACTCTTTGGAGTAGGTGAGCCAGGAAGAGGTGAGCCTAATCTAAAAAATTTAAAATGAAAAATTAATGTCACCAGACATTTGATAGATTTAAAGTAGTGCAGACTGAGCTGCTTAGAGAACTTTGTCGCTGTGTTTAAAGAGTGTTGTTTTCAGGAGAGGGAAGAATAGTTGGGTTGTCTACTCATCAGCCAATGCACCTGTCTTTTACCATTACCAGTGAAGGCACCATCAAACCATGGTTAGAGTTTGCTCAAATCGTATAAATGTTAATTTTTTTTGTGTATTATATAATTTTGGCTTTATTGAACAATTTAAATACTGTTTAATGGGGCCTAGTCATACACTATGCCTATAAAATGCAGTAAACCACAAAAACTAGAATTATTCTCAGTTAAAAAGAAAATAAACACCGATTGTTCATCGCAATATTTTACCTAGTCCTTTTTAGCCTAAAATAAATTTTTGAACCAGGTGTGATAAGTAGAAATAAACATTGTTGTTATTCGTCATAATCTGTCTATAGTACTCACACATCCATCAACTCGACAGCAAAATCTGAAAGCTTCAGCAGCTTTACCTCCCGTTTTAATAAATAATATGTTCATCCTGTATTCTGAATGCTACTCGTCTCTTATCCCTTTTGACATTAAATATATTTTTGCACATTTTCACACTTGATCCTAAAATTTTCTCTTTTCATACCTTCACTGGGACGTTCTTGGATCAATTACTTCACTTGGTCTTGGTATGATAAATATACAAAACGCTAATATTTACTAACAAATGCAGCCAAAACAAGTATTTAAAAATGTATGTAAGCTACTTGTGCAGAAATGAGTGAAATAATAGTATGGAAATTGGCACCTTTAATACCCCCTGTGCTATAATTTAGATGTTTTATATAATCTCTCTTATGTTTAATACCTTCTCTGAATGGATTTATCCAGTTTTATAAAACTTTATACATTCAAGTTTTTGAGAAAGTTAAACTGAGATAAAGAAAATATGACTTCACGGTATGCTTACACTGATAAATAGTTATGGAAAAAAATGTTTTTCATTATTTGCTAAGAGGTCAATATTTAAGAATTCATATAAAGAAAGTAACCTGATTACTTTAAACCCCATCAGGCAACAGACTAATGTGTCTACCCAGCTAGCTAAATCTATTCAAATCCTTTCTTCAAACATAAACAAACATTCATGTGTTTGTTTCATCTGTTTTTACTAGCAGTTTAAATTTAATCAAAGAATTTGCTTACTAGGATCATAACAGAGCACACATACATTTCACCCATGTGTTTGAGGTACATCAGACTCATGTATGACAGGACGCTAACAGGAGGGAAGGAATGAAATCAGGCTGAATACATGCAGCAGGTGGGGGTCAGGGGGGTGTAGAGGCAGTCAAGGAAAGCTCTGGTGTCTGTCTATTTTCAGGTCTCCCCTTCCACACAAGCCAGCAACAGTTGAAACCAAACAAGCGCACACATAAAAACATTTCCATTAGATGCATGGACACATGAACCAACTACCTTCACACTTACATGGAACTCGGTGGTGTTGAGAATGTGACGTCCGTCTGGACTCCAGCGTGAGGAGACTAGTCCGATTGAGCCCTCATCAATCTTACAGTGCCAGTCTGGCTGTTCGAGAGACCACACCTGAAGAGGAATCCGGAGCGAGGAAGACAATGATAGAAGAATAGCCATTAGCAGCTGTTGATGACTTTCTAACATACGCCTCGGTAATTTCTAAAACTTGATTCAAAGTTGGGAAGACGCATAGGAGATCAGAAATCATGAAAGACTGGCACTGGATACCCTTTCATAGGTAAGATGCTTGAATTGGATTCAATGTTGGACTAAATTGGATTAAATGTATTTATTCCAGTGTTTATTGTTTCAGGGCATGGGGGGTTCAATAAAAATGTCTATAAACATTTCTTTTATTTCAGATAGGGTTAGGGTTAACATTTTACTACAAGTAAATTGCTGTAACAATTATACATTTCAAAAGTAGTTGTTAAACTTCAATTCCCTTTAAGTTTTTATTTACTTAATAATAGAAAGGAACAAACTGCTAAAGTGCTCTTTATTAAGATTTCTCCTAAAGGAACAAAATCATAAATCTGGAAAAAGTTTGCAAATAATTCTAAATATGTAGTTCTCTCTATAATCTATATCAAATAAAAAAATAATTATACATGTGTGCCTGCAATGTCCAGTTGAAAAAAAACATGGACCTGCTGAAAAACAGCATTCACATTTAATAAGGCCCACAAGTGTGCATCTTTTCCTGTTTTTTTAAAACTTTGAATAAAGAAATGAAAAAAAAAAAAAAACGTTTCAAATTTTGAATAAACAGTAAAACAGAAAACAAAAATATCATTAAAATTCATCTGAACAAAAGAAAATCGTTCACAATTTTAAAGAAAAATTAAAGAAAAGTTTTGCTATGTAAAAAGTGTATTGATAGAGGTGATGTCAGTTGTATCATACTGTCATCATTACAATTAATAATAATAATAATAATACATTTTATTTAACAGCGCCTTTCTTGACACTCAAGGTCACTTTACAAATAATACAAAAAATAAATAAAAAGAGATGAAAATACAAAAATTCTGAACAATGATCCTTTATATATTTATTCGAGAGCTTTTTAGAAAAACAAATCTGAACAAAATGTCTATATCAATTTGTAACATTTCTAAAATGCAGCTAAAAGGAGGCCTCGATTAGTGGTTCCCATATTTTCATCTTCTGACCCTCAAAAAAATGGGTAAGATTGCTTATGACCGAACTCAACTATTGCTTCACTATAAATTTAATCAACTAAAAACAGGTGGGATGACAAAAAAAAACAACACTATTATCATCAATTAATTTGCTTGTATCCATTTGCTCATAGTGTTTTTGTCTGTTATACAGCATAAATATGTTTTATTATAATTAGGTTTTTGTTGAGTTAGATGTCAGATCTCAGGAAACCAAATTTGTTGATTCTCAACCTCTAGTAGGTCCCTACCAAACCTTTGTGAATCACTTACTACACTTTTCCCCCTAAAATCCAGATTAAGTTTAATAACTTTATCTCTTACCTGAACCAGACCCCTTTTGTACATAGCACATAAGATGAACAGAGAGTCAGAGGACCACTCCATGTGGGATACTTGATCCAGACAGGTGTAGAGCTGCAAAATTTGCAAAGTGCTGATGTCTCTCACAACTAGCCTGTATTGGACACAGGTAGCCTGTGAAGAAAAACAAATTCAAAACATTGCAGAAAATTGCACTAATACAATAGTACCAGAGGAGCAATCAGTTAATCAGAGGTCAGAATCAGATGTTCCTGTTATCTGCAAATCAAACAGAAAGTATATCTAACTACATTTCTAGATTATCTATATAGAAGATTGGCATCAACCTGAAAAATCATACTTAAGATATATATTTATAGCATATAATTTACTATATTTTTTTTCTAGTATGAATATAGTTTAACATGAGAGGATAACTGTAATCTGCTCCCTTACCAAATATTTTCCATCAGGTGAAACTTTGCAAAGCTGGTTGGACTGCTTAAAAACCTCTGAGAAATTCATTTTACAACCACAGTTATTCCTGTAAAGAGAAAACACGTGAGTTGAATTCAATATTTAAAAAAATGTACAAAAAACTCTTTACTTCATGTAAACAAAGGTTCTATTGTAGTTCTCTATCTGTGCCGCATGATGGCGCCAGACGCCCAACAAAATGTTTCCGTTCAACCCATTTAGAAACTACAAACAAAAAGTTTTTATAGCAATTTTTTTAAAAATAGAACCAAATTTAACTGGAAGCTACGCCCATAAACTAAAATAAAACAGTATCCAAACATAAATCCTGAGTGCAAAGACTAAAACAGAATATGATATTACTTTGGCATGCTGATAATACAAAAAATAAACACGTTATAAATTATTTCCCCCCCCATTTAGTAACACTTTTGTTTGTTTACTAACCGCACCTAGACACGAACTGCAAATATAAACTATTAGGGTTTATTTTAAATTATATGTAAATGAGCTCGTTCCCTGCTAGCATGTAGCACTACTGAGCGGTTAAGCAAACCTTCTCAAATATTCAGATCCGTAAACAAAACCTACTCCAGACACCGATGGCCTTAGTTCCTTCAACAGGTTGTAAGATGCACAACGTTCCATAAACAATCCAAAGAACCTTGTTCTCCGTTTGTTTGAAAGCATAAGAACCGCATACTGTTAATCCAACTGTTGATGGATTTGTTTCTATGAGAGTAAAACGACACACCGGTGCTGGCCAATCAACGCGCGCCTACACTTCCGCGTTCTGGGAAATGTAGTTCTATTACATTTTCTTTATGTGCCAGTGTCTAAGTCCGTTTTTGTCAACATAGAACAGGAATAAGTACGGAATGTTTAGTTTACTCTGTCTGGGACATTATTGTAGAATAATTGAGACAAATAATAATAGTTTTAATTTTTGTTCCAGATGGAAATTATTGTAATTAGGCTTTATTTAGGTTTGTGTCGTTATAAACTGCTTGATTAATGCAATATAGTATTTTATTGACTATTTGATGACATGTTTATTTTTCAAAAATGGCGTTGAATTGTATTCCCTTTGCTAATATCTATTTTTTTTTTTTTCTTGGAAACTGAAGATTTCTTTTTCCCGCTTGAGTGAGGCCAAACCGCGCTACCGCATCTCCCTCTGCGCAAAAAAAAAAAAAAAAAAAAAGACGCTTGGCTTCTGTCTCTTCGGTCTCGATCAGTAAAGCCATCACTTCTCTGAAGAGGATGCAAATCAGTTTTCCTCCTGACTCCTGGTTCATATTGTTTCCCTGAAAAGTCAATGGCGCTCTCCGGCTCTTATCAGAGCTAAATTCGGTCGATATATGTTTGGTTTATTTGCTTTTTCCATATTTCCATTTTTTATGGAGGGTCACTCTCTTGGCATGTTCGATAAACAGACAGGTTCTGGATGCAACATCATTCCTGGTTCTTCGGATTGGAGTAAGACTAACTTTAAGGTAGGCCCTTATTTCTCCATATCTCAGCATTAGATCATTTAAACATACTTCTAAAAAGATGGTTAATATTATGTTGAAATTGAATTATAGTTCTGTGTGCCATTTATAGTGTGTTTCGACGTTTATTAGGTTTTATTGTGTTATTAATACTAATGTAGGCTATGTTATTCTATTTCGTTAATCATTTTAAAAGCGATATATTATAAAGCATAAAAACATTTGCACTGATTAAAGTAGTTTATATGGTCTCGTTTTGTTAACTTTTAGTCGTTATAGAAAAATAGAAAACAAACTCTGAGTATAGACACTTTTAATAATATTAAGACCAAGTTGAGTTTACACATAGCTTTATAAATAAAAGATATAGCATTTAACGGGCAAATGTGATTAAAAAAATTAAACATCAAACGCACTCAGATTGCTCACCGAGATGAAAAGCACATTTAAGTCTCCTGTGAGATAATTCACGCGGGCTCAATAGGATGGAGACTAAAACAATTTTTAAATTTAATTTATGCTCATTTGAGACTGATTTTTTTTTTTTTTTTTTTTTTTTTTTTTTTTAATGGCCCTTGGGAAGTTAGTGTGCGTGTATAGAGTGTTTGTTGTCATGGGTGCTGTAACCGTGGAGTGAAGACGCAGAAACAGGTAAAGAAAAACTGCGGAAAACAAAGCAGCACTTGAAAAAAAGAAAATTTTATAGCTATAAACATTTTTTAATACTGGACTAACTGGAGACGTCTTTTGGTTAATGTTTCCTACCCACTTAAATGAAAATATATATATATATTTCTAATTATTTTTGTAAACAATACGATAGCGCACTGGGTATGTTCTTTCCTATTCTTTCCCATCACCTGGCTGCGCGCTTGTGTTTGTTCCAGAGGCGCCAGATGCGCGCAGGGCCAGCGGCGCTCTACAGCCACAGAGCTGCCGCAGTTTATGTGACTGTCTCAGACCTTGCAACTGTTTCTTTGAAAGATCATGCAAAAGAAACAAGTCTAGCTCAGCAGATGTTGACAGAGTTGCATATCTTAAATCGATCAGGTGAGGAGCAAAGGAAACACGCCACTGTCCTGTACAAATAGTCCTAGAATGGCTTTTAGAAATTCGCAGAAATTGCTGAATCAATAGCAACCCTGACTTATTTACCCTTTCTCTCAGTGCGTAATTTCAAAATCCTGCACTTTTCCGCTTTATTTAATTTTATTATTTTGTTTTATTTATTATTTTTTTGTTTCCGCAGTGCAATGCATGATGGAGATATAGGGAAATCTATATCATAATAAACTTTTTCCATGTCTGGATATCGACCTGCGATCATTTTCTGCATTTTCAAACTAAAGATTTAGGTGAAATTCAAGACATTAAACCTTCTGCAACTGCGATAAACCTTCTACTTGTTTGCATCTTTATCAAAAACAATGTTCACTAGTCCTGAAATGACAGGCAAAAATAGTTCTGAAGATCAAGGCATAGCTTGTTTTTTTTTAGATCTTTCCAGGACAACCTCAGAGCTTTGGTTAGGCTGCGCTCATGGTTTTCCATTGAGAGAATGTGATGTTGTCGTTATATTAAAAGAAGACGGGTATTCGGAGGGCGATGAGGAGATGCTTCCCCTCGGAATGGGGAGGCGATGAATGAGGCAAGTCTGGACTCGCTCAGGCCCCCTGGTACCCTGTGGCACCTCGCTGGGACTATGAGTGCAATCACACCTGAATGAAGGCGTGCTGCTTGCATGCTTCTTTGTGTGTCTCACCCTTCCTGGTAACTCGTTTCCAAACTTTCTATTCGTTATGAACCCTCAACATCACTTAAAAAAAATCAGTAAATATGTTTTATATGAACTCAGTGTTTTAAGAGGCCTCCTGAGCACTGGGGGGGAAAGGTAGTCATAATTTGCTTCCAAAATAAATGTGCTTTTGCTTATTTACATGTCCTATTAATGGCGTAGTCTAGTCAAGAGGACTAACATATTAAAGGACATAAAGAAAAACTCCATATGGATGTTTAACAAAATGGCTTCTGGTTTATTTTTTTCAGGAGACTTGATCCATTTTTAGAATCTAAACTAGGCCTACTTAAATGGGTCTTAGTTTAAGTCAATTGTTCGATAAATGCTGAAGACACATGGACATTCTGTAATTGATATTCATTCCACTTTTCCTCTCAGTAAAACAATAATAATAGTAATGAAATTTGAATTTTAAATCAATAAAAAAAAAACATAATTCTAGGTGTTCAGATAAAAGGAGAGCAAAGAACTTGCACTTTTAACAGTGTAAACCTCTGAGAAAGTGTCTGATCATCCAAACCTAAAAATCCAATATATTATAATATATTATAATATCATATCATATTTGATAATATAATATAAAGATTTATAATATAATATAATATTTACACCTTGGCGACAGCAAATAGTAGCATAAATAGTTTGATACTAATATATTTATATGCTGTTAATGATTTGATATGACAAAAATATGCAAAATTGTACACAGTACTATGCAGTCTGTCTTTGTAAATATATCACAAAAGCATTTCAAAGCACAAATGAGTTCTTTGTCATTACTATTATTTATTGGTTTTGACTTCATTGATTTCACGGTGGGGAAATGTACTTAATTAGGTTGCAAAAGAGTTCGCAAGCTTAGTTAGCATAGTTTAGTTGGTCTTGATGTCATTTCTAAACACAAGTTCAGACTGCAGAGTTGAATAGGTAAGTCTACATTTGTCAGTTAAATGACATGCTGCTGTTATTTTGCACATCTCTGATGGTGCTGCTGTTTTCAAATATCTATGACTGTAAAAATGTCCATAGCTGTATATTGGTTATTTATTCTCCATATGCACAGTTTTTATATTGTTAAAACACTTGACAGTACATTATTTAATTTGTCTATTTTTTGTAAAAATTCACTATCATGTTATTTTTATACACCTTTCTAAGATCCATATTTGTGTGACCATTTTTCTATTCTATTCTATTCTATTCTATTCTATTCTATTCTATTCTATCCTATTCTATTCTTTTCTATTCTAATAGTATTACCCTTTCCTGGTTTATTAATTCATACTTTAGTTTGTAGAGATAGTATTTGACTTGCTATCTCTTTTAAGAATTTTATGAGGAAGCAAAGATGAATATCTATGAATAATTTATCTTTTGGCCATCTTCCTCACAAAACTCCAAAACAGTTAATTCATTTGTATGAGTATTTGTACTCTTGTATTCACTTTGCAACTCATTTCAAGCTGTGTCATGAGTTCTGCTAGCAGGTCAAGCACCACCAGTATTTGTATCACAGTTTGAGTACCCTTTTACTCTAGTTAAAAATCCCCTCACAAAATTGGTAGGTTTACTCAGTTATTATTTAGTATCTGTAAAGAAAACTTTAACAAAGATCTTTGTGTTTTGCAGAGCAACCTGCCCCTCACCAAACTGTCCATCTTTTAAGATGTCTCAGTCTACTGTTGTTGAGGAAGGAGGCACCTTGGAGCACCTGTGGAGCTCTCTGTAAGTGATAAACCTTTGACTGGCTAAGAATACCAAGGTACTAGATAATTTTTTTGATCTATTGAAAGGTTTTATTTTTCCATTGTTTCTTTTAAAGGAAATTGATTCCATTTGTTTTTGCAGATAAAGATTATACAAAGTCTTTATTTAAAGGTGCTATAGGAAATTCATCAATCTTATAGGTAGACCTGGGAAAAATATGTATTCATAATAATTGAACTTCATTGATCTCACACTGGAGAAATTCACTCTCCGCATTTAGCCCATCCCCTTGGGGAGTAGTGTGCTGCCATTGTCCGGCGCCCGGGGAGCAGTGTGGGGGTTAAGAGTCTTAACCAGAGTCACGGAACCAGAGTGGCAGTCGGTGGGAGTGGGGCTTGAACTCAGAACCTCCAGCACCTAAGCTCTAACCACTAGGCCCTTGGTTCTTTAAATTCTTTTAACTGTAACAGCAAATGTATTTCTGCAAAATCAAAGTGTGTATTTCTGCTGCATATTGCCATTTTACCCATTACCCTTAGACTGGGACCATCATCAAATCTGCAATATGTAAACTGGTTGAACTTGGACTAAATTGTTCCACACTGATTATAAAATTGTAATTTACGCTTTCGAAAAAAACTGAAAATTGCCAGTCATCTTTGTCCAAGCTAAAGTACATTAAAACAGTTTTTCAGAATGTAAGCATTTTGTAATTGTTTCATATCCCTGTTATATTTGTTCTAGAGAGCCAGACAGTACCTACTATGAGCTTCCTACAAACAATCATAGAGGTGATCATCCAGTAGCCTCTACCAGCACTCCAGGGAATCACCGAAACTGTGCAGAGGTCTCCATGGACGTTTATCACATCAGAGATATGAACGACAATGTGATGGTAGGAACAGGAGTTTTTCTTTGGTTTAAAGAGGAATTTTGTGCTTTTTTGTTGGTGGATCATATTTTTATATTAAAATTCATTTTTCTCCTCCATATCCCTTTTCTACAAAAATCCATCTGCTTTTGCTGTTTGTATTTTTTCCTTTTCCCTCCCTTTCAGGGAGAATTCCCCCCAATATAGTTTCCCTCCATTCAGCAGCCCGTTCCCTCTCTGTTTCTATGCTGAGTAACCTGTTGGGACCTTGTGTAAGTGTGTGTGTGTGTGTGTGTTTGTTGGGGAAGGGATCATGAAATCCCATGGAACCCCTTGCTGCTCCACTTTAGAGCCATCTGTTGGATAGTGTTTGTCCATGTGTGGGTGCATTAACAAGCAGGCGTATTAAGTTTGCAGGTGAATACTCTGCAGGTGGTGGCCTCTAAGCCACACATCCATGTGAAAAAAAAAGAAACATTGAGAATTTGTTTTTGAATATAGATAAATGGTGGCAGGACTTATTTTGGCATGGTTCATCTTGTAGCTTATAAATCTGTGTCTCATAATCAGAATTCCAACCACACCTCTGTTTTTTGCCTTTTCAATCTTGAATATAGCTCTCATATGTCTTAAAGTGGGCAAGCCTTGACCTGCCTGGCTGGTTAATGAATAGTCATGACATGAAAAAAAAAGAGGTGGGGCGAGAATATGTTGTGAGATTGTTGTTAGATGCATAGCAAGTAAAAAAAAGGCAGAATTATGAGAGGGAAGTGGAGGAGGAAGAGGCAGGGCGTCTTCGGTCCTTCATAATGTCTGTTGGCACAGTAAGGTCAACTGGCTGTGCAGAAGTCAGATGTTACCATCACAGCTGACAGCAGAAGCATTGCAGAAACAGCTTTAACCTTTCAGACGCCACAGGATGCTGTGTGACATGGTATGTTCATGCAAGCTTATAATAGTTCACATTGACCGATTTAAAAAAATATTGTTGTGCAGATGTTTGTTTAGCAGTTATTTTTAATGTTCGTAAAGAGTTCTAAATGGCCTCCCTGTATGTATATTTAATAATTGCAAAGAGCATTTAAAATGTGTCTTACTTGGTTTTTATTGCTGTTTGAAATAACAAAAATTTGTATATTACTTAAAATAAGCAATGTTCATATCGCTTCTGCATCATCTTTTAAAGAATTTCTAATTTTGTTTGAAAGACGTATATGGGAGCTGAATGCTTGTTTAATGTTCTTGTGTTTTGCATCAGTTTATAAGGGCCAGACACATTTACAAAAAACATATTCAGAGGTTAGATGAATCTGCATCATGGTAGGCCTGTGGGTTTTTACCTGGACAGAAGAAACAATAGCAGGCTGTAAAATCTACCAGTGTTTTTTTTTCCTGAAATTTTTTTAAAAGTTTTTTTTTAACACATATTTAATTCTTAGATAACATATATGGCAAAATGCTAATCACATTTTCACAAAGAGATGCATCTAAGTATCATTATCTGTATCTTTATGAGATGATTTTATTATATTGTTTTTGTTTGTTATTATCATTACTGTTAATTTTACTGTTTGTTGTGCGGGACTTTTGTGCAGCTAATGTTGCTTTTAAAGTGCTTCATAAATAAGACACTGATATTTAGAGGTGCTAAAGAGGTTGTCCTTGTCACAGTCTGGGTTTTGTTATGTTTTCTTTTGAGTGTTCAGTTTTACTTTGCTCCATGTTTTTTAGTTTTATCGGTTTAATTCCTAGTTTGTTGAGTTTTACTGGTTATATTTCAGTTCTTAGGTTTTTATTTGTTGCCCTTTTGTGTTGGTCTCCTTTTACTTAGCTCCTTTCTAGACTCCTCTCTTCACACCTGCTCCCAATCAGCTCGTTAGTCCTCTCTTTGTTCAGTCTTGCATAAATACTCTCCTTGTGCAGTTCCTCAGTGCTGGTTCCTTGTTTTACCTCGTCTTACTTTGAAACTTTTTTGGAATGTGCAGGATAGTATGAATTATTGAAAGACTGTTTGTAACAGCAGGTATGAAATATATCATTACTGAAAGCACAACAGGCTGAACTTTGAAGAAGATGAGCTACAGCTGCAGATTGCATCCATGCAATTTACCAAATGACATGGATTCATCCAGCCTATCAATGCATGGAGCAGATAATGGTGGAGTGATGGCATAGAGGATACTTTCTTAGCATTATCTTGGCCTTTTAATACCAATTGTACTTTAGGTTTATAAGCTATTTTTTCTCAATGTACATATAATACACATTAATACATATATTTGATTTTGCGATAATCTCTATCCTCAGTTTTAATGTTAAATTTGTGTTTGTGCTGCAAGTTACAAGGTGTTTTTTCCCTCTGCATAATTTCAAATTATACTTCCATTCCTTACAATAACAATATATTGTAAAACAGACTTAAGAATTTATCTTGAATTTTGCCTGAAATTTCCTGCAGGGGGAAACCTTGTTGCACACAACTCTGCATTTGCCTGCCTTTATTCTCACAACTGCATAGTTGGATCTGCAAAGTAAAACATAACCTAGGCTCTTTTCACTTAATTATATTGTCATTTTGTTCATTCATGCATTTAGCTTCTATTTTACAGAGGCATGGCAATGAAACCATTTATGTGAATGTGTAAAGACAATGTGTAAAAAGTGGCCACAGTGTTTTGATCTCATCACAGGGTTTGGCTAAATAAGTGGCTGTAAAAATAGGTGATAGTTATTTTATTCTGGACGTATTGTGTTTTATTAACTCCGATGAACGAAGGTAGATAATCCTCCCCTCTTAGTGTTTTGATCCTTTAAGCTTAACTTTGAGTGACAGCAACCAGGATGGCTGCCCATAGGGGACATCACATGATGCTTAGATGGGAAACGCGTACACACATTTGCTCACACAGTTGCAGCAAAGGTTTAGGCTCTTGTTTTAACTTGTTCTGAATTCAGTTCAGGTATTACCATGGAGTGCACCTGGGAGTACATACATGCATCAGTGTATGTGTGTATGTTTGTGTGTGAGAGTGTGTGAAATATTTTTTTAGCTGTTGACACATACACCTGGACTTCTTTTGTACCCAAAAATCTTCTTTAATAATAGAGTAAGGTGGTAAACAGACATTAGGGGGGCATCACAATCTTTATATCCCATTTATAGGAAGGACAAACATCAGTATAGACACTAATTGTGATTTATTTAAGGTGGATGAGTTAACAAATCTCTATCTCTAGAATAGTTTTCTGTCTTTTAAGAGCCTAAAACTTGCTATGCTTGTTATTACTTTCTAAGCATCTCACTTTATCTGACTGATATGCTTTACATCACATATTTCCCTGAGATGCAATGACTCGCTGTATGGATCCAAGCATCAACCCTTTTTTTAGATGAACATAGTTTGTTTCAAGTTTTAGACGTTAAAGTTGGCTTTTTTTATTTTCCGCCAAACCATAGAATTAAATAAAATGCAAATGTATTTGTGTGATAGTTTCTAAAATCATATTGAAACCATAATTCAGTTTTACAAGGTGATGAAATTTGGAACACTGAGACAAAGTTTAAAAGTAACCTACTGAAAGGGAAATGAGGCTGAAAAGTCCTTTTTATTTTGGAAAGTTTGTCAGCCTTAAGTTACCCTGCTTTGTTTATTCCATGACCTTCAACACATCTATAGATATTTTACATGCTTTAGGTCAATTAAAGTCAAGCTTCGAATCACAATCAGTCAAAGTTTGTCCACAAAAACAAGTTATGACTTCAGCTCCACTTTACTCTTACTGAGGACATTTAAATACAATAAATGAAAAAAACCATTGGAGATTAATTAAAATTGTTTTAGTTTTTCTATGAAAATATGTACATACAGTATTTTTTCAAGAGTCAAATACAAGTTTGAATGTAGGAGAAAGAACTAGTGACATTTCCTCTCTGTCTGCTTAGAAATCAAACCCCCTATTACTGAATAATTAGCGTGTAAGCAGGATGTGACCTCCATAGGGAGGAGGGAAGAAATAAAAACATAAATACAAAAATCACAGATCTGGGTTTTACTAGTTGTTTGTTTTTGGGTTTTTTTTGGATTTGGACATATATTTGCCAGTTGAGATGCAATAGAATAGCATTCTGGGAGAATTCAGAAGAAAAGGGTCACAACATCAAGAATATGTTTTCTTTTCAAACATATGCTTGCCCTTTAGACCTGACCATGATTTATCAAATTATAATCTTGTATTAACTACTTACAGTGGGTTCTAAATTTAATTAAAATTTAACTTTGGACTTTATTTTGGACTTTGATTGGGCGATTCAGAATTAAATACTCTTATTTCAACTATGCATTTAACCTTAATAGTTTTTAAAACACCGTGGTTAACATATTAGTACATGCTAACAGGACGTCCAAACGCTTTGCCACAGGGTCCAAAGATTCAAGTTAAAAGTTATTTTGGTTCACAAAAAGTCAGATAAAAGTAACAAAAGGTGGTAACTCTTGAGAGAATAGGGATATATAAATTATTTTAGATCCTAAACATAAAAGGGAATGCTTAAGTGCACCAAGGTCTACTTTTGAGTAGAAGTTGTTGGACTTTTGGAGTTATTTTTAAAAAACAAAATGCATTTTTCCATTTCATGATTAAATGAAAGAAACTCCTCTTTCATTAAATAGCTTTGCTGGAGGTCCAAAAACACCCCATTCTTTCTTAAAACTAATCCCTGTTACCATTTGCAAATTGGACACTCCTTGTATACACCAATAGGATCCCATTTTATTTAAAAAAATGAAAACAATACCATTTTTTTTTTAATCACAGTCAAGTACTATTGACGTTTAAAAGATATATTGTTCTATAACCTCCTAGTGTTTAACTTTATTTGAAAATTTTTAAGGCAAACCTCATGATTCATAACCACGACTATCCAAAGAGCTTGACAGCATCATCATCAAAGGGATGACAAAATGAAAATAACAAAAGTTCTTACTTAAAAAAGTTTCATATGTTAAATACAGACACTTGCTTATACAATCCATCTGTAATATCACCACATATCAATATTGAGTTGGAAAAATGTTAGTTTTAACTTAAAATGCCTTAAGTATGTTTACAATAAAGCTAGTATATTAGTTATCCTTACTTGGTTTAGTTAGAAAAAAAACATGAATCTGTTGGCAATTACCACAGAGTTAAGCAACAAAAAAAGCAGTTTAACGATGAAGTTTCTCTATACTTTCCTGTTTTTCTAAAGCATATTTTAATTCCATTTATGTTTATTTTGCCATCGTTATGCTTGCAAAGTTGTGCTAACTCTCTGTTTCTGAGAATGCCTGACCTCCTGACCACTTTATCACCTTTTATTGTTTTGTTTTTTTTGGCCTATGTTGACTAACAAGGAAGTCAAATTCCTTGTTGTGCAAACAAACTTGGCCAATAAAGCTGATTCTTACCGTATTTAGAGGGAGATTGATCCACAATGCAAGAAGGTGGGAGTTCTGACCTTTGAACTTTTGTTCTTTGTGCAATTTGCTTTTTCCTCTCTCTCTCTCTCTCTCTCTCTCTCTCTTGCTCTCTCTCTTCCTGCCTGTCATTTTCTCTCTCCTCTCACAGTCTCTATCTTTCTCTCTATGTCAGACCAGACAGTGTTGACTTAGAGTAGGCCTTTACAAGGTGTTTCAGAGCATGTGTGTACATGCGCCCCGGCATTGCCGTCTATGTCCGGGCATGCCATAATTAGAATATCGTACCATTTTTTGGGTTCCCATCCCTCTTTTCCTTCTCTGCTTCTCTCCCCTCATCTCAGTGTATCTTTCCTCTCTCTCCACACCAGTCCTCACCTTTTCTTCCCCCTGTCCTAGCAGTCCATGTGTCTGTGAGTGTGCGGTAGAACATGTCCAATGATGCACACCTTGCTTGTAGTCTGAGGTTATAGGCTATGCTCTTCCACTCTGCGGCTCTCTGTTGTGTTTGGACTTTTGACTGGCTGAAGATTTAACAAATGAGACCCATGCTCTAGAGGATGTACTACGTGAAAAAGAAGGTAATTTTTTTTTTTCTGGCTGGTAGTTTACACTTGAAATGCAGTTGCTTGACATGCAGACTATATTGGAGAAAAATAAGATTTCTGTTTACAATCCAGATTTTTTTAGGTGTAATTCAATTATACGTAAATTTTGATCATCAAAAACTATATGTAACATAATGTATTATGAAAAATACTGCTAATGTTCATTATGAAAAGTCGGTTTGTTGCTTTTGAAATTTATGATTTTTTTTTTTATCATCCTTTTAAATGCCTTTATTTCGAAATATTGCAGCATGATATAAAATGCAAATTTCTGTAGAGTTGTGTTTGGGCCTAAAATAAACTCTTAAACTGTGACTTGTACAATACAAACATATGTTTCACATCTTTGTTCTTTATAAACATACTTAAAGAAAAAAAGGGAGATGGCCAAAACTTAAGCAGACCAAATCATGTGTGGATCCATCATGTATCCCTGAGGGAACATTTGGGGTGGTGGATCTATGTAAAACTGCAACTCAATTGTATTCAACTTCAAGTGATTTTTAAATTTCAACAGAAATGCACAGCATTGGATGAGGACACCTACTTACACAGTTACACGTGCAGCATCACTCGCACTGCACACACAGCTCTCCCTGTAACCCGACCTCCTTTAAGCTTCCAAAACCTCTGTCTCTTTCGCACCTCTACCTGTGTCCTCCCTCTGCCTTTCTGCTCCCTCCCTTTTCTACCGATTCATTCTCTTCCCACTTTGTTTCTCCCCCCCAGTCCCAGTACAACTTGCTGAGCAGCAGCATGGAGAGCCTGGGGAGCCGAGCCACGTCCGCTAGCCCCTACAGCTCCGAAAACACGTCTTCATCGGCGGTACCCACCCCCTCGCCTTACTCCCAGCCCAACTCTACCTTTGAAGGCCTGTCCCCTGCCCCAGCAATCCCCTCCAACACCGACTACCCGGGGACGCACACCTTCCAGGTGTCCTTCCAGCAATCCAGCACCGCCAAATCTGCCACATGGACCGTGAGTAGACAACTACACACGTTTGCGGCCTTGACATGCAGCCACTCTGTCTCTGCATGCCGAAGCCTTCTCTCTTTCTGTCTCATCAATATTCACACAGAGACACTCACTCTCACACTCACCCTAGCCAGCACATGTGCAGGCGTGTTGAAGGCAAGCAAAAGCAGGTTCAGTGATTTATCATTTCTCCTATTCAGATTTTCAAAATTTATTTGATGAAGGCAGCAGAGAAATGCTGGTACAAGTGAAATAACTTATGGTATATATGACCGATAAGGAACTTTTTATAGTTTTCAACTTTTTGATTAATGATGCTAAATAATAAGAGTAGTAGGTGATATGGTGGTAGGGCTATCATTCATTATGATCTGTATCATGGAAAACGGTTTAGAATAGATGGAAGCCCGAACACTTTATCTTCACAGCATGGTTTGATCTTGGATCAAACCATGCTGTGAGATCTTGGATCTTGGTCAAGGTAAACCCTTCTATTTATGTAGTGCCTAAAACCCTGAACCCATTTCTGTTGAAGTCCTGATGTAGTTTCCAGGCTAAAAAATATACGTTGCAAATATAAAGCAGACAGCTGTCAAAAAAATCCCACCATAGATAAAAAAAAGCCCCAGAAATTCAGCAGAGAGACTAAAAAATCACATGGAAACAATTATCAGCAGGTAGATTACTGTAAACAGAGATTGTTTTTTAGATTAATTAATAACATAAACTTTGATGCATTTTTTTTTAGCTTTGCAAAATTCAAATATATGCTCAGACAGATGCTTTATTCCTAAAACGGGAAAACTGTAATTCCTTCATTTTCTGTTGAATTCTGAACCACTAACTCTAGTCCTTAGAATAAAGTCAGAATAAAAAATCTAAATCTATTAAAAATCAGAAAATTAGACCTAAAAGAAGCGTAGAAGTCATTATCAGGGAAAAACATTAATGTTTTCACCTTTGCCAGAGTAAGTATCCCATATAGAAACCTAAACAAGGATATTTACATTAGAAGCATTAAGGAGTATAAGGTGATGTGACAGTGGTGAGAGACAGGTGAAATGGGAGCTGCCTAATTTGTCATTAACCAATGAGAAGCCCCCTGGTTGGAAAGGTGTCACCTCAGAATGTCGCACAGTTGACCTCACTGAAACAAGAGAAACAAGAGACAAACTGCTCTTCCCTCATGCTGTGTGTGAGACTGAAGTCCTTGGGGGCTGTGTGTTTGCATGGAGTAACCATGCGTGATGGGCTCCTTCACTCAGTCCTCAGTGATGTAAGAAGATCCCCCTTTGGACATTAGAGCTGTGGTCTTTGACCTGCCGCCTTTCTTTTTCTGTCTTTTCCTTCTTCCCTGTCTAAGCTCACACTCATGGCTGTCACCTCTGGCGCCCAAAGGTTTTCTTTCTATCCTCTGCTGAATTATGTCTAGCATCCCCTTTGTCTCCTTTAAATCTTTACACAACATTACATTCCCATAATTCAAACAAAACAAAAAAAAGAAACTAAAAATGAAGCAAATATTAAAGTGAGTCAATTTGGCCTGCAGATTCCGATTCTGTAGTGATTCTTTCCTTAGACACTTAATAGAGTTAATGAAGAGCTAAACCCCATCTTTAACCTAATAGCTTTCCCATTTCAGTAGTAAAAAGCTTTCCGCTCAAAGATAAATATCACAGAGAATCTGCAGAAACATTTGAAAGGTTATATTATTATAAAGTCATTAAATTAACTAATCAAGTCTGACTTTTAAATTATTTCTTTTGACTAAAGTTGGTGTAGATGCCTAAGATAGATCCGATTTAGAAACCATATTTCTGAGTTCTGCCAACCTGTAATAACAATAGAATTAAACAGGGTTAGTTTCAAGTCAGGAAGTCTATTTGAATATTTCCACAATACAACAAATCTCTGCTCAGAAATGTTCATTAAAATTAATTAATAACCAAAAATATATGATTAAATTAATTCAGTACAGCCCAGTCATCATATTTATATTGAACTACAAACATCCCAGTTTAAAACATCTTATAAAATAGAGTAGTACTGAACAAATTAATAAGTTCAATCGTGATTTATCAAATATTGAAATAATTCAACTAAGTGAACTATTTCAGTAATCAGTTAAAACATGCCTTTAGGTGACAAAGCAACCCACTAAGAGCAGTAATTATAATAATTATATTAAAAATGTTTTGCTCCATCATTATGCTCTATCCAGAACTCCTTAAATGGAAAAGTTTTAGTTTTAGCTGGTAGAAATTCTGCAAAAAAAAAAATCTTCTTCAGAGGAACTTTTGCTATCCGAATATTAATAATCAACACAATACCTGATTAGCGAAATGAGCCTTAGTTGCAGGCCTACATTAGAGTTGAATCAGCATCTGGTGCTAGTTTTTTGATTAAGATAGTCCTGTTGGCTGCTTTGAGTCCCTGAGTAAATAAATGGCCACGGTGGACAGAAGCAACGCTTTTTTAACAGAAAGATAACTCTTTGCCAAACTCTGTTAAGTTTCCCTGTGTTAGAAGATATGGCAGACACACAAAAAAATAAGATAAATAAATCATAGGTAAAGGAATGCTTGTTAATTCTTCGAGAAGAAAACATTAGTTCTCCCTGGTTTACTTTTGTTTAATCTAAAGGCTGAGCTGTTTTACTATGATCTCAAGACAAGACACAAAGCATTGTTTGATTGGAAAATGACTAAAAATGATGACCCAGCAGAGTATAGGGGTAGAGAAGATAACCCATGATTAATTTAATTCCTCCACTGCCATTAAACAAGGGGATCAGAACGGGAGGGAAAAAAAGGTGTTTTAATCTTATCTAATCTATTATAATGCTGCATTCCATCTTCTTGGCTTGGCAATAAAATAGTTCAAGCAAAGTCAGGATGGGATTAAAAAAAAAACATTAAGAAAACTTTTATGTTTAGTACTAACACAAAGTATTAACATGTAGTGGAAGTTAGTTGTTGGATGAACTAATGCTGCATGCTTTTTTTAATATTTCTACAGGACATTGCATTACATACAGTACAAGTCATTTGCATTAAAATAGGATGAGTTTAATACTTTAAAGTTATATTCCAACTTACTGTGTTTAGTCAAATGTGGTGAAATCAGAAAAGCATTTCTTTTCTGTGCCCTTGACTTAATACTGTTAGTTGACACCTTTTCTGCAATTATACCTATAACATTGACTTAAGACATGAATTTTCTTTGAATGATCTGGTCTATATTGGCTATGGTTATAAATTTGCAATCATCCAACAAAAAAAATGGTTTTGAAAAAATGTAATTTTTCTAACATGGTTTCAGAACTGCATTATAGCAGCTTCATTCCCACAATTTCCAACCAGCTTCCCACTCCCTGCTGAAAAGAAGATCATCGCAGCATGCTGATACCACCTCCATTTTTTTAAGGTTGGGATGACTTCTGAATGCAGTTGGTTTCTTCTTTTTTTTAGAGTAATCAGAGTAAATAAATATTTCTAAATTTTTATTTCTAAAATCATGCAAACAATATAAACATTCCAGCACTCTAAGTAAGTGTCTATACAGTATTTTGTGTTGGTCTGCCAAAGGAAATCTCATGTTAGTTAAATTTTGTGGTCAGAGTATTTTTGTCCAGCACTGTATATTTACTTACCAGGTCACTATTACCGTAAGCTGCAAAATGACACGCATCATACCTTCCTTTTTATAGATCTGCAAAGACAATAATAGAATTATATTTAATTCTATGGAAGGAAAAAAAATCATACATTAGTATTTTCTTTCATTTGTTTTCACACTCTTACATACAAGCCTTTGTCTCTGAATGAGAAATACAGTCTTTGCTGAATGTAGCTTAGCATATAAGTTTGCTTGTTCATTCATTTTTCTTCCTTATTGTCCCAACTAGTGGGGAATACCAGTAGAAGAATTTCCACTATAATCAGTTGCCTCCTTTCTCAGCTCCTTGCCTCCCATTAAGACTGTGTGGCAAAGCATCGCTTCTGGAGATTACAAGAAATTGAGCTACCTGTTGCATCAAGCTTTTATTGTTAAATCATATCCTCTCAGGTCTTTAGCTGCAGTTGTGATGAAATGTTAGATTTATGGTTGCACACACGCGGATCCGCCATTAAGAGAGGGCAGAGAACAGAAGAACCGATTCTTTTCCCCCCATCTTTCCCAATGTTTCCCCACACACCATAAGCCTATCCAAGCCCATGTTAAGCCAGCCTTGTAATCCCCCCTCCTTGTCTAGTCAAGACACCGCACATTAGTGATAATAGCCCTGAAACTCTGCCGCTCTCCTGCCTCTTAAAGATGATGCCTTAGCTTGGATGCAGACAAGCGTCACCAGGGCTGGAAATGAGATCTAACACCTCAGCATTGTCAAATTATAAGACCTCTTTCCATACACTCAGACTCAGCATGTGTGTATATGTTTGAGTGTGCACATCAAAACCCTATGATGGGAGTGGGGGGGTGTAGGGGTGTGTGTGATGCTCCTCAAATACAGGCTCCAGCATGTATTTCACTACAGCTTGTGAGAAGCTCCTCTTCCCAGCTATTAGCGTCTCTCCGTTCGGACGCAGGTCTCAACAAGTCTTTCACAATACATCCTTCCCTTTCTTTCCAAATGCATCATCCATGGCCACATCACCACGGCTCCTCCTGCAGTGCCAAGCAATGATATCTGGGAAAACTCACTTCATGAGAGAGTTTTTTTACACATGTAAAGGCCTTTCAGGTATTTTCACAAGCATCTATGAATGAAATAGATGTGATAATTATAGGAATAAGAATCTATCGCATATTTTTAATGTAACAAATAACCTTGGGCAGAATTAGGTTAATTTTACCAAGATGTTTTGAAGATATCTTTATTGATTAGTTAGAAGCATATAAATACATTTTAGAATAGCATTTCTGATCAAATTAAAACAAAGACAGCTAACAGAAACTCCTGTTACTCTGTTTTATATATTTTTGGGATGCCTTTTTATTCTTCTTACTATCAGAATTCAACCCTTTGTTTAAATGAAAATATTCAAGCTATATCCACCAAATTTCTGAATATTTTACAGATCAACTGAATTATCTCATTTACAAGTGATGAACTGTAGTAGCCTCTTGCTCTTGCATGAACAAAGCTCCAGGAACTCCCCCTCTTGCTGCACCCAGTATGTTATAAATACTATGTCAATATTTCTGGTTTTCAGTATAAATTTTCAATCAAACAAAGACTGAGTTTTTATTTGAACTTTTAGGTGACCGTACGTTTTTTAAAGAATCTCTGCTGTGTTTTATCATTCAGTTCAGGTGTTATAAGTTTCAATTATCCTATACTTTGTACAGAACACGATTAAATGTTCTCCCAATTTCCCAAAGATTTGAGGAAATCTGGATTTAAGAAAGGATTTATGAAAGGCCCTTTGTTTTAATGCCAAATAAAAAGTGTAACTCAGAGGCTGCAAATCGCTCTCAAACTTAGCAGCCACTGAAAGCATTGTAACTGTGGATGGTGACTCCCTGTTTAGTCGACATCCAAATAAGCAAAATTTATCATTGTGCGACTGAAATTTGGTAACAATACTGTTTGTTTGTTTTTTCATTTTCTGTGATATACTCCTCAGCTGATTGGCCATATCACTCGTATAAAAAAAATAGCAAGGGTAGGAGCTCTTTTACTAGTAAGTAGCTTCTTTAACATCTAAACTTTTTTTGGGAACCAGATTTCTGTAAAAGATTCTGTAGAACAAAAAAAAATATGCATTGAATATCACATGTTTAAGTCAAAGGTGTGTTGGATAGAAATACATAATGTGTATATTTTCTATACTGGTTTATACAAAAGAAGTTTAAAAAGTGTCGACATGAGGCATCCACTCTGTATGGCAGCTCTAAGTGCCTCTGTGTGTTTGAAGGTGCACAAGCGTTTTTTTTTTTTTTTATATTTGCCAGCTGAATTTGCACCAGGCAAGCTGCTGCTTGTGTACATGGATGATGGTCTGGCAATTATCACCTTGTCTTCAGGAGCCTGTCCTGACCTGCCTCCATGGGTCCTCTATGAAGAAGAAAGGATGGATGCCTTAGTCTGTGGCAGTGTTTAAGAAACTGACCACGTTTTTTTGGGGGGGTATTATAAATGTTTTGGTTTTTTTGCGAAATGTATAAGAAGTGTACTACACAAAAAAATCAATAAGGGTCGTTTATAAAAAAATGATAATAATTACATCTAATTATTAAATAGGAAATATATACGGTAGTAACCCCTCAGCTTTGGATTCTAAGTGTCTAAAAACAGTCTAAAGCCTAGAAAGTTTTTTTGTGTCTTTTTGGTCGCTCCCATATCCCGGAGTGGGATTTACCCCAGTCCTCCATGTTACAAAGTCTCTAACCACTTTACCATGGAGAACTGCTGAAGCCCAGTGAGTAAAAAATGAGAAGTTACCTGTTCATAATAAGAAGAGAAATAAATGTTTTATATAAAACCGATTTAAACAGATTTTAGAAATGTTTAAAAAAAAAAAAAAAACTCTCTCTATTTTAAGCTTTTTCTTACCAATCCTATGAAGTTTCTTTTTCATCTCCTCCTCAATCTGACCTGTGCTGTGAAATAAAGCTGGATTTAGTCGTCTCTTGTTTGAAAAGAAAACACATATCGTTCATTCATATCTTTTATTACTGCCTAACCTCTAGCAGCAATAAATTGATCTTTGTGTGGGAGGATTGATGTACAAACTCCGGAAGTATAAAAACATGAATTGGTTTAGGATTTTATTTTTCACAGTTACTGCATTCAATGCCAAGAAAACAAATTAATTTCTCTTTGATTCACATCATGAATAAGTAAGATATTCTAATATTATTGGAGATGAGTATCCCATGGATATAGAATCAAAATATATCTGTAGTAAAAGTAGTTTTTTATTTCAAATAATAAACATGATTTGGCTTTTATTTCCCTTTAAGCTTCTTTGTTATATTTTAAGTAATCCGGGGATCTTATAAGCATAGAAATAATAATAAAAAAAAAAATCTGAGCTTATTTTTTCCACATGCCAAATTTATAAAACAAAAGGCTGCAATGTTAAAAGACTTTACAGGAAAACAAAAACAAGTGAATGAAATGTTGTCTGATTTAAATTGATGATATTTGGGTTAATTAAATTACATTCCAACTATTTCATTCAGTCAATTTAAGTCCTGTCATACCTCGAAAACAAATTTAGAGTCCACTGTAAAATCTATGTATTTGTTATGACATACAGAAATTAATACAGAATTTAGTCAGCACAACTGATATCAATATGAGAGCCATTCCTTGTTTAACTGATAATGAGTTTTTCGTTCATCCTTTACATGGATGCTCCATTCAGCTATGTTAAGAAGCAATTGAATAGTTATTTTTCCCTTCTTAATTTAAGCAACTTGAAATAAATAAATGAAGTCAGTAAATAAATGTTTGGGCGCTTTCAGAAATGTATGTATTCATGTTATTGGGGCCGTTGGGACTTGTTAGGGAAGGTTAGGTGGAACTCATGATGACATACACCGGTATTTCCAATGCTTATGGCGAAAGGCATGTGTGCAAAGCTTGGCAGTGAGCCCCTCTGTTGCCAATGTGAATGAATGTGTCTGTGACTATCAGACAGGCCTGCTTCATGGGAGTGTAGATTAAGGACAAAAGGTAGCAGAAATTTATAAAATATGTGATGTTATTCCATGACACAATTGATCCATTCTGATCATTTCATGTGATGTGTTGTATTAAATAATTCACAGAATCCCACCAAAAAATAGTAAGTAAATGTTGTATAAAATGCAACATATTTATGACCAAAAATATTGAGAAAATCTATAACAAGCTTACTAAAAAGGGAAAAATAAACTTCTACAACAAGAATTGAGCTCTCTAAACCTGTATCCTGTTTTTTCTTCCATCAAGCAGTAGGTTAAGCCTCATATCAGTCGAGCACATCAGAGTTCAGCTTACCGTTGAGCGTTTCAGGGATCGCTGGAAAAGCAGCAATCAGTTATTTCCAAACTTCTGAGAAACAATAAAGGGTGTACTGTATTGAAGACTGTTGATAGGTTTTAAATTTAGGAGATATTTTTAAAGCCTCCTGTGGTTCTAAAAAAATATCTTTCCTCCTGCTTGTTTTTGCTTCTTCCATCTGCAAAATAAACAACACAAGATTCTACACTGATGTTTTGATGTGCTTCATTACTGATGCAGAGCTGCATGTACTTTATGTCACCTGTAGGATGTGCTGCTGCATTTGCTTTTTACCACAGCATGTTTGCACAAGCCTGAACAGACGAATTAGCTTTTTCCTGGAAGGTCATAGATTGCGTTGTGGCATGCTGGGACTGTTTTATTTCTTGCGTTTTTTTATGCATCTCTTCCTGGCACCCAAAACCTCACATGCTTGCATGTGCATAACTAGGCATTTACACAAGATTGGAGTTTTACAAACATCAGCATATTTTGATTTTACTTGTTAAGAGTAATGAACTTGTAAAAATCCCCCCGTCCCTGGATGCCCAGTTCTTTCCTTGCTTCTGTAAAGGCTCTACAGTGAGCAGTCTGCCAACAGATCTAAACAGCCACCTATTAGATTTTAGTCATGCAGTATTTTTTTTTTTTAATCAATAAGGTATACTGTATATAAACAAAGAGAATTACAAAATGATTATAAAGCCAACTGTAGAACCAAAATAAAGTTAATTTATTTTGAATGAAACACTATCAATCCCAACTCATTTGGATTGCCTGCTGACCCTGCAAGAGGCATTTTTACATTTTTTTCCCCCTTTCATTTTAAAATTTGACATTTCACTATGAGAAATGCCTCTGCTTTCAGTTCAGGTTTGTCACCTCCAAGCTTTCTTTTCTCTGGAGTAAGAACCGTTGGGTTGATACATGTTCTTCTATGTGCTCTTTACATTCTACCCCAGAAATTTGAATGTTAAGTGTTAGTACATGGTAAGAGGTGTACATTTCTTTCATTGGGGATTATCTGATCCTACGTTTGTACAATAATGTGAACAATATTTTTTTAGGTTTCTAATTGTAAAAGCGATTCAAACAGCAAAAATGCACTAAAAGAGAAAGTAAAAATATCCTATCAAATTACACATGTTAGTATTATATAGTTGGCCCGTTCACAGAGTATGTGATCTAGCAAGCACTTTCATTTCTTGTCATTTGTTTTCGATTTTGCTTCTTTCATTTGAAAACCTAAAAAAAACTAAAAATGTACTTCAAGAAACTGATTTAAAAGGCTTATGTTTGGATCTTTTTTTTTTTTTTTTCCAGTACTCGCCTTTACTGAAGAAGCTGTACTGTCAGATTGCCAAAACCTGCCCAATCCAGATCAAGGTGTCCTCCTCTCCTCCTCATGGCAGCATCATCCGAGCAATGCCAGTCTACAAAAAGGCAGAGCATGTCACGGAGGTGGTCAAACGGTGCCCGAATCATGAACTTGGACGGGAATTCAATGATGGTACAAATAAATAACTAACCAAGCTTTAACTTTCACATGAATGAACTACAATTGGATAACTATTTAAAAAAGAAAAACTATACAACATAATGCTCATATCTGTTGATTAGTTTATTTGATTCATGTTGGGTTCACTCACAGTAGGCAGTGAATAGGCAGCGTTTTGATGTCAATCACCTAAATAAATCATTGTTGTCCCCTCAGGTCAAACAGCCCCAGCCAGTCACCTGATCAGAGTAGAGGGAAACAACCTTTCTCAGTATGTGGATGATCCTGTCACTGGTAGACAAAGTGTCTTCGTGCCCTATGAAGCTCCCCAGGTTGGTGGTTTATCATCTTTATAAAAGTGAGACCCTATGAAATATGTTTACTTGATGAAGTTGCAATGACTTTCACAGCAATTTACCTTGGAGCCTAAAAAGTAACCAAAAAGGCGAGAAATGACAACACAAACAGGAAAGTAAGCTACGAATCATTTTAATTTAGGCCTGAAACAATTAATCGGATTAATTGTGATTAATCAATTATTGAAATATTCGTCAACAAATTTAGTAATCGGTTAATAGTCTACAGCAGTATAGAAAGTGTTAAATATGCCTTTTGCCACTTAGAGCAGTAATTATATCAAAATTATCATTTAAGATTTTAAAAAACGTTTTTAATCTTTTAATATGCTCTATCCAGAACTCCTCAAGCGGAAAATTTTAGTTTTAACAGGTTTAATTTTGTCAACAAATCTTCTTTAAAGAACATTTTACTATCCGATTGTTAATTAATAGAGGAAAAATCTACAGATTAATCGATTTGCAAAATAATCGTAAGTTGCAGCCCTACTTGAATTATCTGCAGATAGGGGATTTTATCGTTCTGCATGTGCTCTATGTCCTAACAGTGCTGGACATAGCTTTGATAACCAAATAAATATTTTTTTCTAAAGAAATGAGCCTATGATTTAAAATCTTAGATCTTCTTCATGATTTGTAAATGTTGTAGTCTGCAGCAGAATAAATACACTGTAGTATATAACAGACAAAAAGAGAGGAAAAAGCAAAAGAAAAAACATGGAGCTGACAGACTGCTTTTACATTTCGCAGTAGATAAATGAGTAAAAAAGATCAAGTTTGTCAGTTTCGTTGCACAGAAGCAGAGAATTTCACAGGAGTACACTAATGTAATGCTCAGCTATAAATAAAGCTGCCCGGCATGTGCAAACATGTACAGGCATCATCATGTCTGTGATTGCACCTGTGGAGGGCAATACAAGAAATGATAGTCTACTCTCACTTCTAAGTGTGCTGCAACACTTCCCTCTGGTGGTGAATTAGTGTTATGAAAGTAACAGCCTGGACAGCAACAGTTCTGAAACTTATCAGAAAGTGTAAGAAAGACCAAACTAATTCAGCCAAAATATTCTGTGCTCTGTTTCAGGTTGGGACTGAGTTCACTACCATCCTCTATAATTTTATGTGCAACAGCAGCTGTGTGGGCGGGATGAACAGGAGACCTATCCTCATCATCATCACTTTGGAAACTAGAGAGTAAGTTAGAAACACAGAGTCTGCACAAACAGTGCTGCTCTTTTAAACAAAACTGGAGGTTTTAACCCTGGTATGGTTAATTCTTACCCTGCATTTTGATCAACTTTCAATATTTAAAAGGTCAAAGTGTTGATATGTTCACAACAGAGCAGAGGTGGTGGAACATTAAATCAAATTTTCAGTTGTTTAATTTACTGATTCAGAAAAAAGCTCACACTACATTATATTTTACAATATAGCTGTGTCACATACTATGATTTAACATTTTCTATTTTAAATAATCTCTATAGTGGCCAAGTGTTGGGCAGACGATCATTTGAGGGTCGGATATGTGCATGTCCTGGAAGAGACCGCAAAGCTGATGAGGATCACTTCAGGGAACAGCAGGCCCTGAATGACAGTGTGGCCAAAAACGGCAGTGCCAACAAACGCAGTGAGTTGGTGAAAACTAAACATATCCCACACTGCAAATATTTATTTAACGATCTCCCTAATGAATGTATTTGGCTTTGAATTTAAACTGTTTGTTTTGTCAACCTCTTTCTGATGTTTGCAGATTTCAAACAGAGTCCTCCAAATATTCCCAGTCCAAATATCAACATAAGAAAGAGACGACACGGAGAAGAAGAAATTTATTATATTCCTGTAAGAAATACCTGTCAATAGTACATTAAGATATTTCATTTGTATCTGATCTTTTAGCAATGTAAACCATCAAAATAATTATAATTAATAGCATTGTATGTCTGCTGTAGTATGGCCTAATATGTTGAACAATAATACAAACAAAACATAAATCCAAATTTATTCACTATTATATCAATCTTTTCCAGCTGAAAATATTACCAAAACATTTTCTTTGTGCATATATTTTCATTGTTTAACTGTTTTAAAATTTGAAAAATATACATTAAGATTATTTCTGTTTCTTCGTAATTTTAATATATCCACCAATATTGTTTTCAGTGTTTGTTTCATTCACCAGCCAGAATATCTTTGTTTGGGGATGAAAACGACCATACTTGCTGATCAATGCAATAGTCAGAATACACAATGAAGGAATCCAAATTAGTAAAACTCCAGTATTGAAAATTCATCATAGACTTTATTCATTTCTGATTGCCTTATTTTCTTGGTTGTAAAAAATCAGAGGAAAGGTGCAGAGCTCAAGAAGGAAACTGAATTCAGCTCGTGTCACATTGTTATTATTCCAGATAATCACATCTGTTATTACTTTTTATTAGTTTTACTGATGGATTTTACTCTTGAATCTTTTAAACTTTATTAAAATGTTTTGTGTTTATTTATTTTCCGGGACACCTATGAGGGCCTGATGGCTCACCTCTGATATGATGCTACAAACAAATGGACATGTCATTTTAAAGAGAGCATGTTGTTTTCACTTAAATGATTTCATGCAAACCAGATTGCTTAGACCATTGTGACATCACACACACACAATGTTTAATGTGATACCAAAATGACTCCACTTATTGATCCATGATTATCACTGATGTTGTCTATGCATGCAGGTTCGTGGGAGGGAGAATTTCGAGCTTCTGATGAAGATTAAAGACAGTTTAGAGCTGGTGGAGCTGGTGCCGCAGCCATTGGTGGACTCCTATAGACAGCAAACACAACAGCAGCTGCTGCAGAGACCGTGAGTCATATTATAACACATGATGTCGAAGATTCTCAGTCATCCAGGTCATAGTCATTCCAAAAAAGTTAAAAAACAACCCACTGGACTTTATTTCCAAGTTTGATGATGTTTCGCTTACCATCCGGGAAGCTTTTTCAATTCAAAATGTCAGAAATAGTGTTGAGTTCAAGGCTTTATTGTTTTGGCTTAGAAATATGCATATATAAACTGACGAGCGGGTCCGCCCCTTTGGAATGGGGGTCGTTTTGTTCCTTTGTTAGCCTGTAATACC